CCTCCTCCCGGCTGCTGCAGCTCTCGGGTGCAGCCCCGCCTCCTCCCAGCTGCTGCAGCGCTCCGGTGCAGCCCCGCCTCCTCCCAGCTGCTGCAGCTCTCGGGTTTTTTTTCCAATCGGATCCTAGACGGCGCGACCTGTCAATCAACTCAGAAGGCGTGTCAGTAACTGACCAATCGATAACTTCAGTTTGTCCCGAAGGTAAACGCCCCTTACCTGCTGAACAGCTCATCAGTTTTTTTTCTTGACAAACATTGTTTTAATTAAAACAATAAGTTTGTATCTGTTGTGAGATGATTCTAGCAGTTTTGCAGATTTTTAATCTACTTAATGAAGAATAGTATGACTTCAAATTGTTCATCAAACAGGAAGGAGGGATTATTATCTCTCCTCTTACTGTGAATGTGGTACTTTGTTATAAGTACGACTTTATTTATGGCACCAGAGAAAGCAGCTTCAGTCATCCACATAAAGTAAAATGTCATCAGCATGAAAAGAAGAAATGTTAAGTTTGAGACTAATCCAGTTTCTGATGTTTGACCAAACACTTTGTAGTGACATGAAAAACATGCTCGAGGGATTCATCTTGTGATTTACAAAGGGCAACAAATCAACCTCAAATTTAAATCTTATTTCAAGAAACATGGCTACAGGATATATCTTATTTATTATTTTAACATGATTCTCCTTCACTTTAGGAGATTTAGGCCATTTGATAAATTTAGAATGAGCAGAAATCATTCTGGTTTTATGATTATTATTAGGAGGTTCTTTGAAGGAATCTTTGTTATACTCAGTAAATCCTTTGTCCCAAACATTAATTGATCATCTTTTTACATTTGAAGTCAACTCAGTTTAATTTTAATTTGGGCATCAAATCATCACCTTTGAATATATAATATTTTTAATTAATTGAATCAGCTGTTGGTCAGGTTAGTTCTCGTTGTGCCATTAGCTCTAAAATAGTTACTGAATCAAGTGTTTACTTGTGTAGGTAAAACTAGATGTTTAACAACCGTTAAAATACACCAGAATGCAGGAAATGACATCTACTTTATTCAAAATTTTCTGGGGGAGGACCCCCAGACCCCCCATCACTGTGCCCCCCCATAACCTGTATAAATAAAGGCTAAATGAAAAAAAAAAATGAAAAATTATAAATGCTTTTGACACCAGTGGCCAACACGTTACTAAACAAAGTACACATGTGGTGTCATGTGGTGTCATGTGGTGTCATGTGGTGTCACGTGGTGTTCAAAGTGTGTTCAACTTAATTCAGTCCTTATGATTTGTGTTAATGAGCATTTGGAGTTTTTTACATAAAAATACACTTGATAGTTAGAATTTGAAGTATATTTACTGTGTATTATGGGCATTTATTCTGTATTTTGACAGATTATGGTGATTCTGGGGATGATGGGGCCCTTGAAGATTGTTGCCCAGGGTACAGCAAAGTGTTAATGTGGCCCTGGTAGGAACATAAACTAGGTGGATGTGATTACTAGTGCAGTTTATGTAAACAAATTACTAATAAGATTTTCTAATTTCATATGAAATAGATTTGTGAATTTTTTTATTTTTATTTATTTATTTATTTATTTTTATTTTATTTATTTTTTTTTTGGGGGGGGGGGGAGTGGTGACGCAGAGGCTAGAAGATGGGCCTGTGATCGGAAAGTCGCAGGTTCAACTCCCAGTACCGTCAACATCAAAAATGTGGGAGGAAAAGGTGGAACACCCACACCTGCCTCCACCCTCATTCGCCCCACCCTGGGACCCTGAGCAAGACCCCCAACCCCCGTATATATATATATATATATATATATATACATAAAAGAACAGCTGTGCAGGAGGCTCGCTCCCGGGGAAGCTGACCATGGCGACACTCTTTCTGATACCACACCTCTATAATCTCTTCACCACTTCCCTGAATCAGATTACAGGAAAGTAAGAGATCAAATTTGTAAAGTAAATACCAACACCTGACACAGACAAGGTCTAGGTAAACATTTTGATAAAAAATGAACAAAGTAAAACTGAAACAACAAGCCAGTTTTGTGAAGGTAATTTCAATATCAGCTCAACATATTCTACTACTTTAAAGTATTTTTGTCTTTAATCTTTAAACAATAAAATCAAAACACTTTATTCCCTGAGCCTGATTTAGTTTTGGTTTTGCACTTAATAAGTCACAGCAGCGTTAAGCTTTATTGTATGGAAAGAAAAATATATTGAGATATATATGCTGTTCGGTGTAATGTTTTTGTGCTATTAGTGCTTCGTGTATTCTTAGTTGATGTTTTTCTTTGTTCATATTTTACATCTTATAGGGGTGCACCGATTAAAGTTTTCTGCCCGATCACCGGTTTCTACAAAGTCTGACCAGCTGATACCGATTTTGTTTTACCAAGGTGACACTGTCAGGTGTGACACGGTCACAACGCACCTTCAATCTTCCAACATTATGTTATTGAAAAACATACTCTTGAACAATATCCTAGAAACTATACAAACTTGTTTTAACTGGCCGTGAGGCAGAGCTCTGAAATATAAATGAAGTTCAGACAATTGTTGTTAAAACTAAAAAAATCTGTAAAACCTGTTTCTAATGCCAGTATCGGCCGATTTCCCAAAATTAAGGAAGTCGGGGCTGATTTATTGGTGCACCCCTACTTATTACTGTTTTTCTTTACTTTTTATTGTGGGATGTAACTGGGACCATGTGAACATAAACTTGTTCCACCACATGTACCACATGTATGACAAATAAATCTCACTGACTCTGACATCGTTTATCATGATTCATCTTAAAAATATCAAAATATTAATTTTGGTCCATATCTCCCAGCACTATGATTATTATCACTCATTCCAATGTGAAGTTTCTAACTTTAATATATTTTTTTATTTTGACATGGAAACAAGTCTTTACACATATAACTACACGGATACTGTTCAGATCATTCCAAGAACATAGATGACAGAACCTTACACGACTGAATGGAGAACAACTGTTTATTACGGGCATTTTATTTTTAGATTCATAAATAATGACACAGCGGTGATGCGAGACATTAGTGTAATGGTTTGGTTGGTAGTAATCACTAAAGTGTGCACAACAATACAAAACTCACAGCAATAATGGAACAAGCAGATACAACTGGTTTTACAGAGAAATATGGACAATATTAAAACAATGTTTGATAAGTTGAAACACACTTTTAAAACGACGAATACTATATAATTGTACAAACTGAAATAGCAATGCAACATTTTAAAATTATTACAATGAACCTCTTTTAGGAGTGCTGGGTGTTATTTTAAATATCTGAGAATGGTTCAAACTATTTAATTTATAAAATAAAATTAATACATGATTAGTTTTACTGTAAAGATGTGCTACAATAATGTCATTGTGCTTTGAAATAAACTATCAGTTTAAGGTTTCGACAGCTCATTATTGGTTTGAAGTCCATGAAGAACATTTAGTACAGTGCTGAAGTCCAGGGCAGTTGATCCGGTCCGAGAAGGTGGATGGTGTGACACGGATAAATGATTCTTTTATTTTTATTTTCTTGTAATGCGCATGAGGAGACCCTCTGAGCCAGGCGGGCGGATGTGTTCACGTGTCGGGGCACAGCTGGATGCTCAGCAGCATCAGCAGCCCCAGAAGGAGACATAGAGGACTGTGGATCAGCGGCGGCCCCGGGGACTTCCCTGCAGGACCAAAAGAAATGCATCGAAATGCAGAGTCACGCAAAACAGAATATTAATGTTCATCCATCAGAATGATGACAATGCTGCTGCCAAAGATGAAATAACAAACTCAAAGTTTCAACAAGCATGAAGAAAACTATTTCAAGAGTTGATTCTGTCCCCGGGTCTTCATTCCTCCTGCACTTCCCGAATGATTTTTAGGTTTTGTGAATGAAAAACAGTAAAAGTACGATCCAGACCTTTGTGCATGAAGATAAAAGTAAATAATGCAAACAAAAATAAAAAAAACTCCAGTCATCATCAGGTTTCTGTGAACGGACACTGCTTGCCATTCGATTAAACTATTTTAAACTTCAAACTAAAATAAAATCATTTTAAATACATTCAAAGATATTTACAATGTTAAGAGCTACTTGGAGACGTTTCAGTGTGAGTCAAGCAAAATCAAAGTAAGTGAAATAAAACACATATTGAGATTATTTTATTAAAGCTGTATGTGAGATCTACCTTTACAGCAAACACACACACTTCTGCAGCGCACAGATCCACTTCAACGTGTTTCTAACAGAGTTTTAGCTGATGTGCACCTGATAAGGTCCTTTCTGTGACGAAAGCGACCAAACAAGCAAAGTTTCAAGGTTTCTGTTCTTTACCTCTGAAGTCCACGGGCTTGTCCTCCCAGGGGGTCAGCACCATGGCCAGAGCCGTCTTCTGAACGTCAGACAGGACGGCGATCTGCTGCGGAGTCACTGCCACCGCCTGCTCGTACGAGAACATGCTGATCTGTTTCTGGCTAAACGCCACCTGAAGAAAAATGACAAAAACAG